GGAGATTAACTGCCAGGGCCTGGGTGCAGGGTAACCCCTGCCCCAGCTGCTCCCCAAACCTGGCCCTGGTGGTCTGCACAGGTGGGGTGCTGAGGGCATCTGGTAGGGCTGGGCAAGGCCAGGGGTGCCGCCTCCCTCTCTCCCTCACCTTGGGATACCCTCATGCAGAGTCTCCAGGGGCCCTAGAATCTGGCTTGCTACTGACAAGAGGGGACAATGAGACTACCTTGGTTTGAAGTTTGCTTAGGTAGCAATGGGCACACGGGGGGACAGCGCCCCGAAGTGTGGGTGTGCAGCTCCAATCAGGAGCTTTCCCAAAGGCCCTGGCACACTCGGGCGTTGGGGACCCCCAGGATTCAGGGCCCCCTTCCGGTGCCCATTCTATACACATCTCTTGTCTCTGCATCTTCTCTGCGCCTAATGCAGACAGAGGGTCACCTCGTCCCCAGCTCACAGCCTCTCCAAGACCCATACAGAAGATGCCCCGTCCCCACATCTCCATCCCATTCCACGAACCGCCCACTCTCCCCAGCACGACAAAGCGAGGAAAAGTTGCTCCGACACCACAAAAACAAAGTGGGAGAGTCATTCTGCTTCCTCAGGACCTGAGATCAAAACAGACCCTGCCTCACAGGGCTACAGTGGGGGTTTCATCTGCTAGCAGTGACCTCAGGGTGCCTCTGAAGGGCACAGCCAGGCCTCGATAACCGTTAGCTGGGCGACCACCGCGTCTTTATTTTTGTGTTAGATCGCATGCAAACCTCCTGACAGCCTTCCATTCCCGTCGCCATGCTCTACTGTCCACACGCTGCCTGACGCCTGGGGAGACAGGGTGCCACCATGCAGACCCCTCTCCTTGCCATATGTGGTCCCCAGGATGCACACCGCATCGCCTACAATCACCCACGCTGTTCTGTGCCACAGGCGTGGAATTGTGCGTATTTTACAAGGTTCGTGTAAACCCATACCATGTACGATATAACCCGTTCTATCACACACGCACCCTACAGCAGTCTGTGTAATGCTATATCATACGGTCTGCAGAGCCGACAATATTCTAGGTCTGGAATACATTATGTTGTACACACCCCCAGACTATACCCTATGTGTGACCTGCTATGCTCCACACGTTTAGAATGTCCTGTGTATGGAACACCTCACAGTGTGCACGAATATTCTGCATACACAATGTGCTATATTGTTCATATCTTAAAACACTCACTATGCACGCAGTCACTGCACCGGACCCACGTCTTAGAACGTTCAGCGTAGGAAATGTGTTCTGTTTGCATGCCTCACGCTATTCTGGGCGCACAGCCCTTATGCTGTGCACCCGCCTGAGTCTTCAGTGCCTCTCTCGGTCCACAGTTCTTGCCCCTCTGGGCAATATCATGCATACTGGCATGCACGATATGTGTGCACATCTCGAGTGTGTAGAGAAATATCCTACTTATTTTGTGCACAGATCATTTTATAATCCGGGGGAGGGAGCACGCTCTGTCTCTTCCTGACCCTGACATTTCTCCGCCCAGTCCCCTGTCCCCAAAGCCACATCCTCAGCCACAAATATCCCACCCTATCGGCCCCTCGGTTCTCCCTATCGACGCCCCCAGGCCAGGCGGCTTTCTGTACTGCCCAACGCCCACCTCAGGTCTAGGGCCCGGCCCGCCCTACCTTGTGTCGCCTTTGGACGTCGCCTGGAAGGAGTTGGAGGGAGCAGGGGCGAGGGAGGCGCAGGCCGGCGCTAATGCAGAGCAGGGGCGGCGGCGGCGGGCAGGGCGGCTGCCCTCGCGGTGGGTGGTCGGCGGCCGCCCCTGCCCCCGCCTGCGCGGCCGGCCCGGGCACGATCCGAGCTGGATCTGGTTCCCTGCTCGGGTTACGGCGGCGCGCTCTCTGCCGGGGCGGCTTCAGTTAAGCAATTAGCCAGTAAAAATACCTTGGGCTTGGGGAGTGGGAGACATCCAGGCGTGTCTGTTTTTACACCCCCCTCCCCGTTTTGGGATTCCTGGTGCCCGCGCGGAGGCGCAGATTTGCTGTGGGACGGGATGGGGTCTTCACGGATTTTTAAGTGAACACCGAAAAGCTGGCCCCCTCCCTCTCCGCGTTTGCTCCGTTCGCCCCTCCAGCTGGGCCCCGGGTTTTGCTGGTTCTGTTGGACTGTCCACCTTTCCCTGCCGCCTTGTCCAAGGCTTCCGGAAGCCCTAAGAAATACATCCCACTATTCGTCCCATTTTTTTTAGGTGAAGGTTGGCATGGTGATTAGAGCTAATAACACTGTATCATATAATTGAATGTTGCTAAGAGAGTAGATCTTAAATGTTCTCGCCACAGAAAAGAGATGGTAACTATGTGACGGCATGGAGGTGGCAGCTAACTCAATGGTGGAAATCCTTTTGAACATATAAATGTATCAAACCAATACATTGTACACCTCGAACTTCTACAATGTTATGTGTCAATTATATCTCAATAAAGCTGGAAAAAAATTAATCAACGAACAACCCCTTCCCCCCAAAAGAAACGAAGACACAAGGAGCTTATGCCACATCTCTGCACCGTGGAGGCTGTCAGCCTCCACGGTGACCGTGAGTCTGGGGGGAGAGGGTCTCTCTGCCTGGCCTCTGCTGGCGTGCACCCCGCGGCCCCAGGCTTCATCCCTGGTCCTGCTGTCAGTCCTGGGTTTGTATCCTGGCTCTGCAGGGTGACCTAGGACATGGGTAACCTTGCTGAGCCCCATCTGTAAAGGGACAGTAACGATGATCTGGTAGGGGCTTCTGTGAAGATTAAACAAGCATCTCTGGGGCGTTTAACCAGGGTCCTGGGTCCAAAGATGGGAGGTCATGGGCTCGTGGGTGGGCTCCAGGTGTTTGGAGAAGCCTTTAAAATTATTCCACAGACGTCGCAGGTGTGAGCCTCGCGGGGGATAGGATGTAATTTTCAACAGTTTATCAAAGGGATTCACGGCCCAGAGAAAGGTTAAGAACATCCAAGGGGGTGTTTGTAAGGCAATGACCAGTACGTGGTGCGTGGCCAGCAAGTGAGAAGTCCTATTATCACTATCGTGTTTGTGGTGGTTGTTATTTTATCCCCGTCAGTTGTCGGATGGGTCTCTCTGTGCCCTTGAACTTGGGAAGCCTGGGGTGTGTGGGGCGACAGAAGCTTTTCCAAACCCCACTCTCTCCACTCCTGGCCTGTAATGAGGCATCCGGTAAATGCAATGATGGTCTGTCCTTGGAGTTAGAGAGGAAATGTGGAGGGAGGTTCACCTGGCAGCCCTGGGTGACCCAGGCCAGGGCCTCACTGGGTCTCAGTTTCCCCATCCCCAAAATGCAAGATCAGGAGAGCTCTCGGGGCATCTTAAAAGCTGAGAGCATAGTCTCTGGGCCCGTGGGAAAGCCTCTGTGCTATGGCTGTGGTTTTTCCCAGAATTGAGGGGGGTCCCCTCCAAATTACAGAGCAGGAGCCCATTCCTTCTCCCTCTCTCTCAGGCCCCCACCTCTACCTCCCCCCTCGGTGGGGATTAGGGGCTGGGGAGAGCCTCCATCTCCCACATGCCTGAGGCTCCGCGGCCACTGGCTGGCCCCCTCTCCCTGGACTCGGTGACTGCTGTCCCTCCCCTGCAGAGTCTGGTTTGGTGTCAGAGCCTGAGGGGTAAGTGGAGGCCAGGTAGGGCCCCGACTTCACACTTCCTCCCCAGGAAGGTGGAAGCACCCTCACCCCACAACACACAGGAGCCCCCAAGGGGAGCGCGTGAGAGACATGATGTGCAGGAGGGAAGAAAACTGACCTGGGGCGTAGCCACAGATGGAACCTGCCGGCCGCTCCCTCCCAGCTGGGGAGGGCCTAAGAGGAAAGGCGGCCACTGGGAAAAGGGGCCCCCAACTTCACGCTCTACAGAGCCCCCCACTTTGGAGGGCTCCGTTGCGGGGGCGAGCGAGAGAACGGGAGCCATGACTGTCACTTTCTGGGAGCCGCGGGGGTAAGCGATGCTGCCCCCAATTTAGCTCGGGAGCCGGGCTGCCTCCCCCGCTCGCCTCTCTTCTAAAGGCCAGATGTGCTCCCAGCAGCTGGCGGTAGCGACCCCTTCGCGGGAACTTCCCTCCCGGCGCCGCCGGGGCCTCCTAGCCTGCAGCTGCCGTTTGGCAAAAAAAAAAAAAAAGCGATGGAGGGAGAGAATGTGAGAAAGTGTGTGTGCGTGTGCGCTCGTGTGGAGCGGCCGCGCGTGCGACTGTCTGCGCGCGTGCGGCTGGCTGTGCGTGGGCGAACGCCCGGGGAAGGAGTGTGTGTCCTTAACCGAAAGTGTGCTCTCCGCGGTGGGCAGGCTGTGCGCTCGTGCGAGGGTTGGGGGCGCCTGAGCTGTGCGAGGGGTGTTCTCTGGGAAGATGTGCTCGAGGCCGTGCGCGGCGCTCGGGGTGTCTGGTCCGTGGACGCTGGCCGGACTGTGTAAAGTGGAGGTGGGTCCGCCAGCGCGCAATTACCTGCGTGAAGACACAACCACACACAAGGCAGTCACGTCCCACACTCGCTCTTTCCCCTAGGCCTGCCGGGCTCTCTGCGCGCGGAGCCGAGGCCCGGAGCGCCGGGCGGAAGCGCAGCGCGGAGAAGGTGACTGTCATCTGAGAGCGCGGCTCCACCGGGGAAGGCGGCGACCGCCCGGCAGGCTACGCAGGCGAGCCCCCCAGCTCCTCGCAAGGACGTGCCAGGCGCCCCGAAGGCGACCAGGCGTCTACCACCGACGCTGCAGGCGTCCGAGCGAGGAGAGGAGTCAGCGGGGGACGAGGAGGCCAGAGAAACCCGAGAGGCCGGTGGGCTTTGAAAAGCGCCGCGGGCCGCACTCCGAGCCCGGCACAAGCCTCTCGCCCCAGCTCGCGCCAGGACACGGCGTCCTGGCTCCTCGCGACGACCCTCGAAAACATCCCTCGGCTCCCTCCTCCCAACCCTGGGCCCTGGCCCGAGAGGCCGGCCGGGTGCCCCTCAGTCTACGCGCGAGCAGCACTCACCTGGGTCCCTGCGCACCGCGTTGCGCCCGGCTCCAGCGCCGTCCTGCGCTCGGCGCCACTGTCCCCCCTCCCCGGTCCTAGCCCGAACCCCAGCGCTGCGAGGTTGGCGGGGGAAGGCGTGCGTGGAAGCCCCTGCTGCGGGCAGCCAGGCGCGCGAGGGCCACCCAGGCCCGCGCTCTCCGCCCGCGCAGACTGCTTTCCGGAACCTGGCCGGGCGCGCAGTGTCAGAGGCCCCCGCGGCGGCGGCAGGCCGAGCCCACAGGGGCATTAGGCCAACTCCCCCCGCGCACGCGGAATTCTCTATTATTATTATTAAAGAACCCCCCAGAACGTGTTTACGTTGAACCGTATAAACTTCCTGCCAGGGCCTTTACCATCTACGAGAAATCAGAACCTGCTCTCGGAAAGTGGGGACACCGGGGCTCCGGGGCCAAATAGGCGGGTTTTCAGTGTGTGTATGGGGGAGGGGGTCAACTGGGTTACTTGTGGGCTCGGATCCGAGCGTGGCTAGAGTACACGTGAGTGAGGGTAGGCGCGAATTTACGCTCCTGTGGACCTACTGTGTGTGAGTGAGCCTGAGCACTGTGTATGCGTGAGTGGGAAGGCACGCTTGGGTGCGAGTTTGCACATCTGAGTCTGCGTAATTTACCGGGTTTGCATGTGCATCAGTGCATGCGCGTGTGTGCATGCATACACGAATGCACGGGTGAGTGAATGAGCGGGGCCGCTTGTTCGGGGAGCCTGTGCGGTTTTGGTCCCCGCAGGGCCAGCTGCTCTCACTCGCTCCCGACCGGCCCGCGGCGCTGGAGACAAAGCGGCAGCGACCCGCCCAGCGCTTTCGTTTTCCGCCCGCGCTCGGCTCCGGCGGCCGCCCGCCTGCTCGCGCGCTGCTGGGCGAGTCCGAAAAGTCCCGGGCGCGGCGCAGTCCTTCCCGGGGCGGGGAGAATGGGTAGGCGGTCCCTCGCGGGAACACACGCCCGCTGGCCGCGGGGACCCGTAGCCGAGTTGGCTGTGCCCGCGATGGCCAGGACCCGGAGGCCGCCGCCGCCGCCGCCGCAGTTGCGATTTGCCACCGGGCTGTATGTGTCGGGGAAGGCCAGGGACCCGGGGTGCGTTTCCCTCCGCGCCGCCCGAGCAGGGAAGGCGGGGGCCTGCGCGCAGCGGGGCTGAACCGCGGGCCGAGGGCGCTTTAACACTTGCTCGCCAGGTTGGTGGAGGCGGGGCGGGTTCTGCAGGCGGTCGCTGGGCGGCGAGGGTGGGGGCCCTTTAAGCGCCCACCAACGCGGGGGCCGGAGGGGGGCAGGGAGGGGAGGGAACTCCTGGAGGGTCTTACGCCGGCCCGCGAGACGCTGCCGAGAAGAGATGCAGAGAGGGCGGCCCCGGCTGGAGTCGTAGAGCCGAGCGCCGCGGGTGGCGGGGACCTAGCGCTGCTCCCCGCGGGGGCGCACGGCCGCAGGCCCTGGAGGTGGTGCCTCCCCCAAGAAACCGGTGGGGGGGCTTCCTCGCGGCCTCCGCCCGGGCTGCCAAGGCGCTGCTCTCAGCCTCCGCTCGGCTCCTTCCCTTGTGGGAGGGCGAGAGGGAAAGAGGGAGGAGAGAGAGGTGGGGGAGGAGGGAGCTGGAGAGAGGGGGACTCTGCGCCAACCGCCGGCGGATCCAGCAGCTCCTCGAGGAGGACGCGCGGGCGGGGGAGGGCGCGCCGAGGCTCGCTCGGGAGAAGCGGCCGCCGATGACGGCAGAGGTGCAGCCAGCCCCGCGCGCGCAGCCCCCTCCCCCTCGCCCTCCTCCCCCTCCTCCTCCTCTTCCTCCTCCTCCTCCTCCTCCCGGCTCGTCCGCGGCGCAGAGCAGCGGCGGCAGCGGCGGCGGCGGCAGCAGCCACCCGATGTCTTCGGCGCCCGAGAAGCAGCAGCCACCGCACGGCGGCGGCGTTGGCGGCGGCGGGGGAGGCGGCGCGGCCATGGACCCCGCGTCGTCCGGCCCGTCCAAGGCCAAGAAGACGAACGCCGGCATCCGGCGCCCCGAGAAGCCGCCCTACTCGTACATCGCGCTCATCGTCATGGCCATCCAGAGCTCGCCCACCAAGCGCCTGACGCTCAGCGAGATCTACCAGTTCCTGCAGAGCCGCTTCCCCTTCTTCCGCGGCTCCTACCAGGGCTGGAAGAACTCGGTGCGCCACAACCTCTCGCTCAACGAGTGCTTCATCAAGCTGCCCAAGGGCCTCGGGCGGCCGGGCAAGGGCCACTACTGGACCATCGACCCGGCCAGCGAGTTCATGTTCGAGGAGGGCTCCTTTCGGCGGCGGCCGCGCGGCTTCCGAAGGAAATGCCAGGCGCTCAAGCCCATGTACACCATGATGAACGGGCTGGGCTTCAACCACCTCCCCGACACCTACGGCTTCCAGAGCTCGGCCGGCGGCCTCTCCTGCCCGCCCAACAGCCTGGCGCTCGAGGGCGGCCTGGGCATGATGAACGGCCACTTGCCGGGCAACGTGGACGGCATGGCTTTGCCCAGCCACTCGGTGCCCCACCTGCCCGCCAACGGTGGCCACTCGTACATGGGCAGCTGCGGCGGCGCGGCGGCCGGCGAGTATCCGCACCACGACAGCTCGGTTCCCGCCTCCCCGCTGCTGCCCGCCGCCGCCGGAGGGGTCATGGAGCCGCACGCCGTCTACTCGGGCTCCCCGGCCGCCTGGCCGCCCTCGGCCTCGGCGGCGGCGCTCAACAGCGGCGCCTCCTACATCAAGCAGCAGCCCCTGTCCCCTTGCAACCCCGCGGCTAACCCCCTGTCCGGCAGCCTCTCCACGCACTCCCTGGACCAGCCGTATCTGCACCAGAACAGCCACAACGCCCCAGCTGAGCTGCAAGGTGAGTGGGGAGCCACTGTCCCAGCCCCTGGGGGACGGGACATCTGTGAGCACTCTGGCAACCCCAGACGCCCAAGCCCTGACCGCCCTGGGCAACAGCCGGCACCACTTCTGTTGGGTGCCAACGCCAACGCTCTGGGCAGGCATCTGCGCTCCAGGTTGTCCCTCTGCCCCACCTCACCCCCTTTGAGGGGTGAATGCAGCTTGGGGCCCCCAGTCTGGGCCAAAGTCTCCTTATTTCTCTTTTTCTGTTTCAACTGCCGGCTGCGGGCGGCCCAGAGCCTGGCCAGGTAGGCCTCATTCTCCCCAAAATGTCTCCAACCGCAATATTCTACATCCCTTCCAGTTCCTTAGCCCCCTCACGCCTCAACAAGTCCCCAGGATGGAGCTGGGACCCCAGCCCGGGCCAGCTGGCTCACCCTCCTAGGGAGGTCACCCAGAAAGCTGCCAGGAGCGCCACCTCTGCTCCGGCCTGGGCAGGGCGGCTGAGTTAGGCCCAAGGCCGCCTGGCCCAGCACTTGGACCCCCACGCCGGCCTTTCAGGGGACCAGGTCTGGCTGTGCCAGCCTGGAGTCAGGGACACTTTGTGGAGACGGGAAGAGGGGTGCCGTGGCCAGGCCCAGAGGAGGCTCTGAGTGGCAGGCCCCACAGACTCTTTGTTTCTCAGGATCCAGGTTTTCGGGTCCCCGGGTCCCACCCCATCCTCTGAGAAAGAAGATTCACGACCATCTCGGCTCCTGAGCTCTCCATCTCAGCACCCGCCAGCAGCCCTCGGGGCCTAGTTCTGGAAAGAGCGTGCGGGGAGCTAAGCAGGGCCTGTCGCGGGCAGCTGTCAGCAGCCTGCGGGAGGCAGGAGCCAGGCTGGAGGCCGAGGGCTGCCTCTCCTCAGGGGTCGCCCTGCTGGGGCTGCTTCAAACTCCTGGCCTCCATCTGCCCTGTCCTCCTGGAGGCCGCCCTCATCCTGGACGGTCCCGCCGCTTCCCTGCTCCGGGCACGGCCTCGGCTGCACCGGGGCCTCCGCAGCCTTTGGAGCTGGGAGGCGGCTGCCTGGCGGCCGGGTGCAGGCCGGGCTGCCTTTGGGGGGGAGGCCGCCGGAGCCCTCGCTGGCGTCTGCCGGTCCGCTTTGGCCCCTCATCGCTTCCCCTGCAGCCTCCGGAAGCCCCCAGGGCCGGGTGGGTGTCCCAGGCGAGAGAGGCTGAGGCAGCGGGTGCTCTGGGGAGCAGGGATCGTCACTGGTGTCCCGGAGCCGTCCGTTCCTTGGGGCGCACAGGCGAGGGCCGAGCCCCGGGGCTGCCTGGTCCCGACCCAGGGCCGGGCACGGCGGGAGGGCGGGCGCCCGGGCCCTGCGCCCCAGCGGGGCTGGGCTGCCCGTGCGCCCCGCCGGCCGCGCCGCTTCGCCGCCTTGAATCTGGCCCCAGACGCTAACTCTTGACTCCCCCACCCCTCTTGTCGCCTCGCCTTGCAGGCATCCCGCGGTATCACTCTCAGTCGCCCAGCATGTGTGACCGAAAGGAGTTCGTCTTCTCTTTCAACACCATGGCGTCCTCGTCCATGCACTCGGCTGGCGGCGGCTCCTACTACCACCAGCAGGTCACCTACCAAGACATCAAGCCCTGCGTGATGTGAGGCCGCGGGCGTTCCCGGCTCGGGCGCCCGCGCAGGGACCTCGGACCCATCGCCAGAAACTGCTTTATTCTCGAGGTATAACCGTCGGCAGAAGAAAAGGGTTTGACCCCTCCCCAACCGGATTATTCGGAAAGCGGTCCCCAAGGCAAAGACCCAGCGCGGTAGTCGGCACCTCCTCCCCCACGCCCTCAAAAATTCAAAAAATGGTGGCGGCGGGGCCTGATCTGACTGCAGCTGTTGGTAAATAAATATCTATTTTTGATCCAATTGAAACCGACCGAGAAGGTGCTGCATTGGGGAAACCCTCACCATCTACACAAGATTCTGCTGCGGTCTCTCCCCCTCCCCACCGAAGGCCAAAGTGGGGAGGTTTATAGGAAAAAGGCAAGCATGTGAGACCGTCATTATCAAATACTTTATTTTTTGGTTGAGTATTTATCTTTTTATTTTTAATTTTTTTTTGGAAAGAATGTCTTGGAACGCGCAAGTCTCCTTTTAGAGCCGTCTTTGCAGGGAAGGGGGGGCACGAGACACCTCGCTCCCCCCCCACCTCAGAAGTCCTCCGTGACCACAGGTGGATCTTTGTGCAAACAACTTGCATTTCTGAAGCCACTGTTCGTCTTAAAAAAGAAACCAGAAGGAGCCCAGAAGCGGGCGGCCCTCGGGCCTCTGCCGTCCCCCTCCGCCTTCCTCTCCTGCCTTCTCTTCAGTCTTTCTGGTTTTGTTTCGAATTTTCTTTGGACTTTCTTGGTGGGTTATTCCTCCGGAACCCCGGCTGCCTCCCCATCTCTACTGTAAACCTTCCGGGGCGAGAGCGAGGCGAGCAGGGCGCCCGCCGCGGGGACTGGGCAGGCCCGGCGCGTGGAGTCAGCGTCGCGGGAGCAGGAAGGTTAAGGCACTTTTAAAACTCTAGCAAGGCTCATCCTGTTATTTATTCTACTTTCTTTCCCTAATAATCGAAACACCGCATAGGCTCCTCCGTTTATCAGTATTAATGGTGTAACTTTGTTGGCAATATTTGCCGAGTAGAATTTTTTTTTTAGATATCCATTGTAAATTTGAAACAAAGTCCGATCTGTGTAAAAACAAATTTCCATATGTTTTATATAAATATATATATAAAATGAAGGACTACCCCCCCTTTTTTTAGTATTTTGGCTGCTGGGGTGCAGCGTTTGTGACACGTATTTTAAATTTCCTTCTGCACTGTATAAAATGACAATTTGAGGATGTTTTGCCTTTGTGTATTTTTTCCTAAAAAAAAAAGAACAAAAATAAAAATGTATAACATTTGTATCTGGCCTTTAACATTGTATCAACTAGAAATAAAATCGCATGAGCATCTGATGGGGACTGGGTTTGCCCAATATCTTCCAAACTCCAAAGTGTAGACAGAAACCGCCTGGGACCTCCGGACTTTTTTCTTTTTTTGGTATTTAAAATATGGGTGATTCTTAATACTTTTTTTTCTTTTTCTTTTTTATTTGTTGGCTAACGCTCCTCTTTTCACTCTTCATTTCACATTGAAGTGAAATGTGGATAAGAGTAACAATTTTTCTTGGCTTCTGTTTTTTAAGAAAAGCCCTCCATCCCTCTGAATGTCATTGCTCGTTTTAAAGAAATAATCAAACGTTTAAAGAAAAACTGTAGTCCTCCTTCCCGCAGGGAAAACCGTATCTATGTAAAAAAATATATATAAATATATACA